AGGATAAAATCCAGAGAGCTCAATGTAAATCCAAAGCAAATAATTTAAATAAAAACACACCACTTTAAGGTTCCATGTAATAAATTATTTCACCACAGCCCTTTTAAAGGGACTGCGGATCATCAGACTTTACTTCGAAGTAAAGTCTGATGATCCGCAGTCCTTTTAAAAGGCTGTGGTGAAAGAATTTATTACATGGAACCTTAAAGTGGTCTGTTTTTATTTAAAATATATATATAGATATATATATATACGTATATATATATATATATATATATATATATATATATATATATATATATATATGCGAATACATCATTGTTTACAAGAGTAAAAATTGACCATCTAAATCTACCAGACATCATTGATATAAAAAGCCACAGAACTACGAGATGCCTGTAAAAGCGTCTAGCGTTTTTAACCGGTTTTTCAACTCTTTGCTCAATATTCAGTTTTCAGGAAAGATGGCGCTGCCAACTTTTAGCACACAACTAATAAATACATTAAAAAAGGTGGGGAAAACGAAGAACAATATTCTTCTTTTCCATATCTTTCCGTCAAGTATATTTATGTAAAATTGGTTATATTTGGTGCAAAAGTAATTTGGCCAATTTTTTTTTCTTAAAATACTAAAACATAGTGCTGAATTTGGAAACATTTTTGTTAAAAAATATCTTTGTGCTTGGTTAGGAGGACTTAAATTTGATCTTAACTTTGATCTTAAATTTGATTTTACGCAACTGAAAAATTTATCCAACTCTACGGAACGCAAGAAAATGACATTTGCAATTTATAGTTATTTTTAACAGTTTTTTTTTTTTTCTATTTCTGAATGTTAAAATGGCCAGTCAAAAATAATATGTGTTCTACTTAAATCTCAAAAGATTTTGTATAATCCGTCCAGCAATTAATGAAACAATTAAAGCAATTAAAAAAAACTCAGCGTTTTTTGTTTTGTTTTTTTAATTTGAAATAGAATTTTGTTTAAAATTGCGCCTCGATTTAATAAAATGTTTTAAGATATTTTTAAGCATTTTTTTCATTTTCATTTTAGAAAATTGTGGGTTTTTTTTATTTTCTTTCACATGCCATATCCTTTCAGGCCGTGGGCAATCATGGATATCCACAAGTTTTTGTTATTTTAAGTAGCTTTTGACCTGCTGCTCTCTCTCTATCTCCCTTTTCTGACCCTCCATTCACAAAAGGTCAATCCATTCTCCCTCACTGCTTTTCTTGCCTTCAATATGTCCTGTGAGTTTTAAATTCTCTACGCCCTTTCTTCTCACTATGTGTCGCAGAAATTTGATCTGTTTCTTTCTGGTTGTAAATATGTTTCAAATGCTTATGCATTAAAACACTTAATTTTGCTCATGTGCTGAAATGCCATATCTTTTTATGCCAAGCCCTTTCAAAATGCTGGCATTCATGTCTCTCCACAACTTCCTATTTTGTTACTCTAAATAAGTTTTGACTCCTTGCCATACCCCTTTCGCTTTGTTCTGTCATCCATTTACCATGAGTTACTCACTACTTTCTTCCTGAAACAATTACCCTCAATATATCCTGAGTTTTAAATTGCGTAGGCCTTAGGTCCTTATGTTTCCCAGAATTTTCAGATATCTCTCTTTGTAAATATAAATATTAGGTTCTATTTTTCTTATGAATTCCTCGTTGCTCACGTTGGAGCTATGGTGGAGTAATGGATAGCGGCTCGGATTTGAGGAATCGGAGAGCCGAGTTCGAATTCCAGTCGAATCCATTACATTCACTTACGTGCTAATACCCTTGGGAAAGGTGTGAATCGTCTACTTCTCCCTCCAGAAAATAATTAAATTAAATATCAGGACAGATCAGGTTCTATAACCTTGGATGGCAACTGGTCTACCGCAAAAAGAAATGGTAACCTACTGCAGGAAAAAATCTGCCTCGTCAGTCATGTATCGAAAGATACATGATCGCTTAAGCGTGTGTCACGCATGGTACATAACTGGCGTTGCTCACATTATGTTGGCGGCATTGTTTCATAATAAAAACAGGTAAAAACCTTGATTTCCTGTAAATATTTTTTTTTAAATAGAGAATAGTAAAAATGTAAATTGTTCTTATTAACAAAACAAAATTTAGCAAAAGTTTAATACTTTATAACGGCAACTTTTGCCTTCGCCACAAACACATATATATATTTAAAGACATTTTTATGTTTAACATTCTTTTTATAGATAAAAGTATTTAAGTAAATGCTCTGTTTATAATAAACAGTATTAAATGACATTTACCGGCCTGAATGTCCGAGAAATTTTCATAGAAAATATTCGTCCTTCGACAGAATTCGAACCTGTATCCTATACGAAACCGTCATATAGCCTGACGTGCCTTCATACCGTTTACTATAAACAGAGCATTTATTTAAATATTTGTATCTATAAAAAGAATGTTAAACATAAAAATGTCTTTAAATAATTGTCGGACATTTTATATATATATATATATATATATATATATATATATATATATATATATATATATATATATAATAGCTGGCCACTCGTATTCGAGGATACTACTACTAAAGCGGTTAGCCAATCCCTATTGCAGACGCTCGCTCAGGCACATTTGTGTTTGTTCAACCCCCCACAGAGCCCACCTGTGGTTTATACTGAAACTATGCTGAGCAGACCTTAGTTACAGTTTCTGGGAGGGAGAGTGTTATCTAGCGTGATCAATAATCTGAACAAAGCCCTCACTCTCAAACCCTCAGTCACGATGACTTGTGACTTCGTGCTAGCACAGCTATCCACGGCCCCCAAGGGTTCCGTCTACCCAATTTCACTCACAAGTCTTGGGTCAACCCGTGGTGTGGTTTTCAGGCACTTTCCAAAGGTTCCGCACGCTGGGATCGCCCTCGATCCAGTCCGATAACATCAGGAAATCAATTTATTTAAGTAAATGCTCCGTTTTCAAATAAACAGTATTCATTACATTTACCGAGGCGATTGGATCGGTAGTTGAATAGAAAGAAAACGCCAAGTCAAGCTTAAAATAATGCACAGCCTGAATGATCGAGAAATGACAGAAATCGAACCTGTAATCCCAAAGGGAACCATCATTTGATCTGATGTGCATTCAACCATTTCGCCACAAAGAAGCGTCTGATTGGCATAGTGCCCTAATTACTTTTTATAATCAAAGATCTTTATACCGAACGATCATATGAGCTCACGAAATGTAATTTAACATAAACATTGACAACATATTGTGAAATGGATTAAGTCCGACAATTATTTAATATGTTTCCTGTTTATATGTTATTTTTAATAATAAATTGTCCATTTCATCATATGTTGTCAATGTTTACGTTAAGGTACATTTCGTGAGCAGATATGATCGTTCGTGAAAAGATCGTCGAAGATTTGTTGTTCATAAACAGTAATTCAAACTTTGCTAACCAGACGCTTCTTTGTGGCTGAATGGCTAACACATCAAATGATGGTTCCCTTTGAGGTTACAGGTTCGATTCCTCTCAGAGACGCACATATTTTCTACAAAATTTCTCGAACATTCAGGCCGGTAATTAATACTGTTTAATTACAAAAAAAAATGGAGCATTTAAATAAATTGTATCTATTAAAAATAAGGTATAAACAGAAAATATATAAAATAATTGTCGGACTTTGTCCATTTCATAATATATATATCTAATGTATATATTATTTATGTCTTTTATTTTTATTTATATATATATATATATATATATATATATATATATATATATATATATATATATATATATATATATATATATAAGCTAAAATCACGTTTCCATGGTCACAGAATATTCTGTAACCATGGAAACGTGATTTTAGCTGTGTCTTTAAAACCCAGTAATTTTTAAAAATTACTCCAAAATTCGCTTGAGGATGAAATGGAACTAATGCTTTTAATTTAATTGCAAAATTAAATTCGGGGCTTTTAGCTTCTATTTTTGAAACATGGTTAGAACTGTGTAGCGGAATAAAAACCATATTTTAAATCAATTAATTTATAATATTAATGCTCTGTAAATTTACATTGAGCACTATTTTGTAAAAATAATAATATCTATAAGAACACCGGATTTTATATCTTACTGTTCTTTCTTTTTATACATATATATATATATATATATATATATATATATATATTATGCATCTATCTTATAATGCATCTATCTCATATATATATATATATTATATGTCTATCTAATGCATATATATGTGTGTGTGTGTGTGTGTGTGTGTGTGTGTGTGCGTGTGTGTGTATCCACGTGGAAATGCATCATCGACCTACATTTTTTTAATTACCCTGCCTCTTTCTTTTTTACCAAATCCCCTGCCAACGTCTCCATCGAATCGAAGATTGAAAAATCTCATTCCATTCATCTGCAAGCCGGTTCTTTTTTTTTTTTTTTTTTTTGCGCTTCCAATTTGCCTCACACGTGATCCAGGCACGCAAGGCGATTGGATCGATAGTTGAATAGAAAGAAAACGCCAAGCCAAGCTTAAAATAATTCACGGCGCTGATGAGAAATCTTACGCCACTGCAAATGTCTTTCTCAAGCAAGGTCATTTTCACTTCACGTTCACCTTACTATCATCCAGCTTAAAATCCTGGACATGTTCCAGCGCTTATCTATCGTTTCATGTCATCCACTCAATTGTCGCTGTCATCGTTGTAGCACTTTTATCTTCAGCATCCGAACCATTTATGAACTTTTATGGACTTAGGCATGTTATGGTGGCTGTAGTAAGAATGGTAAGTAAGAATGTGTTGTCTTGGTGTAAGGAATATTATGGTACGATTGGATCAGTAATCGTGGCTAGCTAAGTTTAAAATAATACAGATTGAAGACTAGCCCTCCCTTATTTTGGCCTTGTGCCACATTTTTGTATAACTCAAAATAAATATTTCTCTTCGATTAACAATTCCGAGCCATTATCCATTACACCGCCCGCACATACAAGATTACAACACCTTGTATTCCTAAACGGTCACCTATCCTGGTAATGAGTAGGCTCGGCGTTGCTTAACTTCGGTGATCGTACGGGAAGCGATGTTTGAACGTAATGTAGTCGTAAGCCTTTGCATAGAAAGAAATCGGTCTTCACTGAATGGTCGACAGTTCTGGTTTTCAGGAAAATCAAACTCAGCCGGGAAAGAACAACCGTACAGCACTTTCTCGAAGAGAAAACTTGAAATCATCTGAATATTTTTCAATTATCCGAACTAAATGAAAATTCCACGGCTTTGTCATTTGAATTTACGGATGATATTTAAATTCACCTATGAATAATAAGTTAAAGACTTTTTAAGTTAAAGATTGAATTCTAGTTGTTAGTTCAGTCAGTTCAGATTGACGAGGCGGTTTTTTTCCCGCGGTAGGTTGCCATTTCTTTCTGCAATAGACCAGTTGTCATCCAAGGCTATGAAATCCGGTCTGTCCAGCTATTTACCCATAACTGAGAGGGAGAAGAGGATTCATACCTTTCCCAGGGGTATTAGCATGTAAGTGAATGTAATGGATTCGACTGGAATTCGAACTCGGCTCTTCATTTCCGCAATCTGAGCCGCTACCCATTACACCACCGTGCCTCCTCCCCGACTATAAAATACGCGTGGAAAATACCTCCCTTATTGTATCGTTTAATATTTGAGCTTAATAACTTTAATTAAATATTGCAATAAAAATACTAAGTATGAATGCAGGTCGTGATTTAAAGAAGGAAAAGGGTATAAATGAAAACATGTAAAGTTTTTTTCATTTCATTGAAGCAGACGTTAAACACATGAGAGCCTTGTCGTCTCTTTTTATCTTCTCATTCTTTCTTTCTTTTCTTTTTCTTACTGGTGTCTTTTATATCTTTCCTCGTGGTCAAAACGGAATAGTCCATTATTTATGAGGTATTGGCAGGGAATAGACGTAAGCGATAACGACGGAACGAAGGAACAGAATTAGGACATATCTAATTGCAGAGAATAATTTGAGATTTAAAAATGAAAACATACTCGACGTCTGATAAAACTTTCTTATCTTAATGTACTCCTGCCATAATGGTAAATCCTAATATATATTACAATATGCTTTACAAGAATTAGCACAATCTTTTGAGAAGAAAAAGCAAAAACATCTTGATTAAATTTCAAACCTGCTTATCAGATTATCGAAATAAAATTATTCCCGAGAGAAAAAAAAAAAACTTTTTGATCTGATTTAAAAAAAAAAAAATAAAAGGAAAAAAGGTGTCTTTGTATGAATATAATCTGTTTTAGTTAATACTTATAAATCTACTTAGCGTTAAATATTAATGTAAATAAAGCAGACATAAATAAATGGTTCAATGCAGACAAACCCTTGATACGAAAACCTAAGGGATCAAGATATTTTTGAATGTATAACTGCACCGGAAAACTTTGAAGCGGATGATAATTCAAACTATTTTCATTCATACAAATCGGATTAAAATGTGGAATTTAGGTTAAATTTAGTTGCAAGAAATTAAAAAAAAAAAAGTTTGTGAATGAGTGTGACGTCGTCCCCCGGTCGCAGCGTCGACTGTGTCGTTCGATCCCGGTCGCGGCGCCAATTGTGACGTCACGTGCTCCCCAGGCTCTGATATCCTGGTCACGGACAGCACCAACTGTTACGTCTTTGCCGCGGCGTCAGCTGTTCGCTCCTCGCTGCTCCAAACGTGACGTTCTAACCCTTTGGTTAGATTAATACCAGCCTCGTCGTTCCCAACCCGCTTCCAACGCCTGGTTACCAGGGTAACTGCACTGGTCTCCAGTCTGCCTACCCACGTTGTGAATTGATCTTAGACAGACGAGATCAAACAGGGGTTGGGGTCGTAATGCAAGTTGAGTCTAACGGGGGTGATAACACACAATTATGTATAAAAAAAAATAAAATAAAAACTCACAAGGTCCAACGTATCAAAGAAAAAGGTAACAAACTTTTTTATGTCTATTTGCTCGGTACATAGGACTATGTCTACTTCCCAACCCGTTCTGTGGATTGTGGCACGACGCTTTTACTAGGCAACTTTAAGGCTTCAAGTTGTCTGCTCTCTAAGAAATTTGTGTTTCGGCGTGTCCTTGGACGAAAGTCGAAAAAAAACTTATTTCTGTGGTCTGATTCTAAGTCGCTCTTCAAACTACTTGTTCTTGGTTGAAGAAGAGTCCAGAAGTGTGCGTGAATCTTGGTCAGCTATCTTGACGCGGTTTCAACACTGGGCGCTCATCTCTGCTTGTCGTCCACGTCTCAAAACTCTTTCGCCGTCCGCTGCTCAAACTCTAACTTCTTCTCTTCAGAGTCTGAATTACTGGTCACTCATCTCCGCCGTCGGTGCGCGAACTAACTTCTCTTCGGATTGGGTCGGACGAACTTCTTCACTTCGGCCCAACGAACTGGCCTCTCTTGCCCGCAAAGGGGCGAACGAACCTGGCCCGCCGTCCGCAGCTCAAACTGATTTCTGTCGGTTGGGGTTTCGCTTTTATTGACGCAGTCAAAACTGGGGTGGGTCTGTCGGCGCCAGGGGTTTCTTCGATAATTCTAAATACGTATCCACCCTTCTTATTTCTGGTTAGGGATTTTCCATTTTCGGTAACTCACTCTCACTCCCACTTCCTTGCTGTGCCTCTGAGGGGCGTATACCCGCTTCCCCGCTTCTTCGTATCGGCTCCTTACACTTCCACTTCTGACAAGGGCGTCGACCGATTCTCCTCGTGCGTCACGTGACCGCTCTCGGCCAATGAGGTCCTGGTCGGGTATCTTTCCTCCTCCTTCGTGTGTCATGTGATCTTATTTAGCCAATGACGTCTTTAGTCGGGTGTGGACAATCCGTGGCTTTGTTTTGGCGAAAGAAACACCTTGCTTAAAAAAACAAAAATATTAATTTAAATCGCCCTTATCATGAGCGACTGCGATGACACCTTCGGCTTTTTAACACGTGGTATTTGTCAAGCAGTTTATCGCTAATTGGATATGACCTAAGAAAGGGATTTCTCAGACCTGTTGGCGTTTTTTTGAACGAAATAAAAATATTTCATTTTCCTCCGGCCGAAGGTCCGATAATAAAAATCTTTATTATCTCAAAAATAAAAATTTTCAGCGACATCATCTTGTGTGGCTTTTTCCAATTCTGGGTTTTCGTATTAATGGTTTGCCTTCATATCCTTAGATACACTTCCCCACCCACTTAGACTTTTACTATCATCCCAATGACACACTTTCCACTTGTTACTTATCAATATTTTTCATTGTCCCTAAACTTCGTTTCTTCAACCAATTGATAACAACTTCCATTTTCCCCAGATCTCGGTTAGATGCTTGACCTGGATATTTTTCGACACCTGTTATCTGTCAGCCGTTCGTGTGTGTGCTCGCCTATGACCTGTTTTCGTATTATTTTTTTCTTTCTTTCTTCTTCGTTTTCTCTTTCCTTCTTCCAGATCGCTTGAAAGAATTATTCTTAAAACCCGAAATATTTTTCGGCCCTAAATAATTATTAAATGGTTGATAAACCGTAAAAAACAAATCATATATCTATGAATATTTCTTTTCAGCTCGTCAGGTATGCATGGTGTCACAGAGAGCTTTTTCCAGAATTTCTTATCTTAAAGTTAAAGGTGAGTACTATACACAAGTGAGTATTATACGCAATTATTTACACTATTTACGTCGTACGGGCTGATCTTTATATCCATATTCACGACGTGTCGGCCGATGTACGCTCCGATGTACGCTCCGGTGTTATTCATTTTGGAATTAATCCACGGAGGTAGATTCTTCTAGTTCCACATTCCATGCTCCGCTCTCAATTTTTTTTTTTTATTATATATATATATATATATATATATATATATATATATATATCACAGTTTGAGTTAATTCCCTTTAGTAACACAAATCTCCAAGTTTTTGTTCCCGTGGATTTTGTGCCACATTTTTCGTAAGCCTTCGAGATATCTAATGCTACGTTCCTCGCAGTGTGCGTGACGTCAAGGGCCTTATTAAGGCAGTGTGTAATGGTAGTTACGACGTCAGCATTGGATCAGGGTGATCGAAACCAGTACTACTCGTCACACATGCCGTTGTTCCTATCTAGGTGCTTGAACGACCTTTTTGCTGATTGATGCTTCAAAAGACTTACTGATGATATTGAGGAGACTGATGAGTCCATACTGGGAGGAGTAAGATATGTTTCTCGCCTTATGGAAAACCAGGCATACGCTTGCTTCTTTCCACAGTCTTCGGACGGATTTCTCCTTCAAGTGGTTCAGTGGATCAAGTCGTTCAAGTTGGTCAAGTAGATCAGGCTGATCGGAACATATACTACTCGTCACACATGCCGTTGTTCCTGTGTAGGTGCTTGAACGACCTTTTGGCTGATTGATGCTTCAAATGACTTAATGATGATACTGAGGAGACTGATAAGTCCATACTGGCAGGAATAAGATATGTTTCTCGCCTTATGGAAAACCAGGCATACGCTTGCTTCTTTCCACAGTCTTCGGACGGATTTCTCCTTCAAGTGGTTCAGTGGATCAAGTCGTTCAAGTTGGTCAAGTAGATCAGGCTGATCGGAACATATACTACTCGTCACACATGCCGTTGTTCCTATCTAGGTGCTTGAACGTCCTTTTTGCTGATTAAGGCTTCAAAAGACTTACTGATGATACTGAGGAGACTGATAAGTCCATACTGGGAGGAGGAGATGTTGCTCGCTTTATTGAAGACCAGGCATACGCTTGCTTCTTTCCACAGTCTTCGGACGGATTTCTCCTTCAAGTGGTTCAGTGGATCAAGTCGTTCAAGTTGGTCAAGTAGATCAGGCTGATCGGAACATATACTACTCGTCACACATGCCGTTGTTCCTATCTAGGTGCTTGAACGTCCTTTTTGCTGATTAAGGCTTCAAAAGACTTACTGATGATACTGAGGAGACTGATAAGTCCATACTGGGAGGAGGAGATGTTGCTCGCTTTATTGAAGACCAGGCATACGCTTGCTTCTTTTCCACAGTCTTCGGACGGATTTCTCCTTCAAGTGGTTCAGTGGATCAAG